GCGAACAAAATATTGTTGGCCACATGAATTATAGTGTTGTTATAGAGCAACTGTTGAAATTAAGTGTATCGTAAAGTTGTATTCGGAAAGAATAAACCAGTTTTATTAAGAAAGGACTTGAGTCGCTAAAGTTTCATCGGAACGAAGTTACGGAAAATCAACTAGTGACTGGAGGCGTAACAATACTATTTGTAATGAGTGACTATCTCACCAATATTGACTATTACAAAACAGTTTTCACTATGCAGCAAGAGGCCCAGCAGAGGATCGCACACTATAATGAACATTATTATAGCCTCTAGGTCAAGCAACCAGTTTACTTGCTTATGGAGAGCTCAATTAACTATTTCTACACAGGTTTGGTTGAATCGACTGAGTTCATAACCATTTTATGCTCATTACAGTTTCCATACTACAACTTTTAATACAGTAAGTATATATTTTAACAAAATTTGGCAGACGTTCAGTAAACATTACAAGAGTTCTGTACACAAAAAATTAGATTTTTTAATTATGTATTTTAAAAAAAGATTTGTCTGTGAATATATGGAGTAGTTTTGTTTACTAGTTAAAGTGCAAAGTGATTTTCATGTAAAAATTAAAAATACTTTTATTTATTTTCATATTTCATTTGTATAATCACCAAAACCTCCAAAATAATTACAAAAATATTATTTTTCAATAAAACTTTATATTTTACCTGTTATTTTCTTTACCCTAACTCTTTATACGAGGTTGGTCAATTTAAATGATCTCATAACCACAAAAAAATTAAATAAATCTAAATTGAATTTTTTTTTTGCACAATGACTTTAAATTGTAACATGAAACTACATTTGTTTATCCTAAATAGCATTAAACTTATAACAGTATACATCTGTTTATACTTAAATTATATTGTTTTATTGCCCTTTGTACAAACTTCAAAATTAAAGAATTTAATAAAAAACAATTATCTAACGGGTTGCATGTTTTAGTAATCACCTTGATATTTACACAAAATCTCCAATATATATTTACCAAAACGAAATAAAATGCATAATAAAACTCAATGTAAAATAAAATTAGATGTTACAATACCAAAAACATTTAAACCAAAATACAAAAACTCCAGAATAAAATGAATCAGAAATTACAGAGCAATAAAATCAGGGCTTAAAATATGAATTAAAAAAATAGAAAGAAAGAAAATGTAAAGATGTCTATATATAATGATATAAAACACAAAATGAAACACTAAGCAAAATCACGAAACAGAATGAAACTAAAATTTTTGTAAGTACAGAATCAAATGAAATCATAAAACTCAAAATAAAATGTGATAGAAATATCAGAACACAAAAGAAAAGAGAAAACTAATTCAAAACACTCTATTGAACTTAAACTTATATTGAACTTATAAAATTAAATAAGGTCATGAACATTACAAAACTTAAATACAAAATCAAAATAATTATAGAATAAAAGTTTATTAAAAGCAACAGAAACTATAGAAAACAAAGTATGATTTGGAAATCATGTTTTGGTGACTGGTCAGACTAATAACAAGCTAATCAGTTGTCAAAAACATGGTAAAAATCAAGATTGAAAATCCAAGTTAATTCAACCCATGATAGGTCAGTGTAAAGCTAAATATCATGACCAACCAGACTAAGACTCAACCTATTTAGGAAACAGTGATCTGAATATGACATACCATA